AGGGGGAAGGGTGCAAGATCCTTGTAAAAAGGGAAAACACACCAGAATGGCAGCACCAGAACTGACTCCCAAGGCGGGGAGCTGACACTGTACATCAGTCAGGGCGCGGAGGATAACACCGGTACCCACTCCTCCAGTGACTCCTGACAGCATCACAACCTTGTCAAACACAACCTGACAGCTTTGCAGGGAAACTGCACAGAGACTTGACATGTTCCTTTTTTTCACATTCAGCTTGGGATGAAAAACAAAAGAAAGGAAAAAGGTTTGTAGCAAGTACTAATCTTCTGAGACTTCTCAGCGTGAGAGAAAGGACACAGGAGAGCTTGGTACGCAGAGTCAAAGGGAGCAGGAGGATGAGGTGGATGACAATTGAGACTAATTTGCTAATTGGAACGTAACACAAAGTGCAGCCCAGGCTAACAGAAATCACATTAACTTGGAGATAATAAGACAGATAAATTTTGCCTGACGATGGCACATACCGATAAGTCAACAGATCACCAACGATATCAGGCATTTCCTGAGGGTAATGTAAATTTGAGTATCCATTTTCACAGCCATCCACTGAGGCAAAGAACAAGTGTCAACATCATGAGGGCCCCAGGGGGAAAAACCTCTAAAGCTGCAGTTTGAAGCAAAAGTGGTGGACCAGTCAGCCAACTGGTATTGCAATGCACTGTGCCAGCAAGGATAAAAAGAATAATGGGCATAATTACACAGAGAATGTAACGGAGGTAGCAATCAGTAACCAGAGAATATCAGAGAGAATTCAATGAAAGGCGAAGACGATGAGTGAGCAAAACAGAAGAAGAGAGAGAAAGATGATAAACAAAACAGGTGTTCAAAGAAAAAGATGCAAGAACGAGGAGGAAAAGCTAAGAAACTAGGATAAGGAAGAGAACGTCAGTACCGTAACTGAAGGGCAAGAAAAGGTAGAGAATGATAAAGAAAAGTTAAAGATAAGGTGAAGGAAGTTTAGAGAAACATCAAGTAATAAAAGGAAAAGAATAAAGTGTAGGAGTGTAAATATGGAGAAGGAGATGGAGAGAAAGGAAGAAAAAAAGGACAAGGATGAAGAAAGCTAATTACCCGTCCGATCACAAGCCAAGTGGCGTTAGATTGCATTGGAGCATCCAGCCATGTATTAATTTCTTTTGCACTCAGACATTTTGTCACATGTCATGCCCTGCACTGCTGTTATTCTTCATAGTGTGTTGCTGTCTAATAAACCAGAAACACAACATAATCTTTTCAAGTGGTTCAGAGCACCAAGCTGATCATCATCTGCACTAGGGAGCATCGGGTTTTCAAATCTGTCAAGGCTTTGGGCCCTCCGTCGTCCTCCACACAAAACGAATCTTCAACAAAAGGAGAGAAACATTTGTGTAGTGTGAAAACACCCACCTTTAGTAGTTTCATCTTCGATGGGCTGCTTGAAGAGGGTAATGTCCTTAAAAGTGCAGAGGAACAGCACCACCTTGTCATTCTCATTCCTGATGGGAGCCACTTGCATGTAGAACCAAACAGGACTTCCTGCAACAAAACATCATCAAATCTTAGAGTACCTATGTGCAAAGGAAGTCACTATAAAACAAAATAACAAATAGACCCAAGACAGTGTCACCATTGAGGATTTAACATCCATGATGCTCGAAACAACCTTACCAAATGTAATCTGAACAATCTCTTGTGGAATCCTTACTAGGTTTGAAACATTATACTTTTATGTTGCTTTACTAAAAGAATGTTTCAAACTACTTATCAATGCTTCCACTAGGGTTTTGTGTTAGGGTGTCCACAAACCTTTGACCACTTCTTTCAAAATGTGAAAAATATATGTTGCACAGGAACAAGTTGTGGAAAAGAAATGTTTTATTACTGCACTAGCTTTTATGACATCTCTGCTGTCTTTGCAGAAAACAGATTAAAGTGATTTCACATCTAAATTGCTGCTCTGGGCTTGCTCAAACAATCAACAGAGGGCAGATACAAATATAATCTAGCCATTAATTATGCTCCATTATCAGGACCAAGCAACCACATTAAGACTCTCAGAAGACAATCTTTGTGCCACTGAGTCAAATGTGGTTGGTTTCATAAGAGTCTGTATCAGATATTAGAATAAATGTAAAAATAAATATGTTTAAATCTATATGCCAATAATGGATTTTAGAGATATTTATCTTAACAAAGAAAACAACTGAATTACACACCAGTGTGTGATAACCATTATTTTTATATCTGGTTAAAGGGGATTTTTTTCAAAAAGTGATTGCTCATAGGGGATCGTCTGATTGTACAAAGCACCTTGAGATGAATGTTGTTGTAATTTGGTGCTATATGAATAAAATTTAATTTAATTTAATTTAAAAACATAAGTCATTTTGGCATGAGAATAAAAAGAAATATCATATTCTGCTTTCTTACTTTGAAATTTAAGCAATTTTGTGGCAATGAACATGCTAACTCATTAGTACAAAAGGCTGAGTTGAGTCCTGAACCAGCACTCACATGGCACTTGGGTACTTTGTGAGAGTGGTAAACATGGCAATTGAACTAAGTGGATGTGTCAGAGGTCAAAGTGATATTCTTTCAGCTTATAAGGGGGCAGTGGATGGCACCCTAAGGAAGCCAGTAGATAAAGAAGCAAAACAATTAATCTATGTGTACTAAGGAAAAGAAGAGAAAATTCTTCACACATAAAGAATTCGCCTCATTCACGTATTATACAAAGACCTCTATGAGGGCCCTGCTCTCATAATTTGTCATCAAATTTGTGCCATGGTAAAAGTTTTTATTTCCTTGTCCATTCTGCACTCAAAGATGGACCATTTTGTAGTTCCAGCTTGTCAGTTGTCCTAACACGCTGATCTAGTACCTCTCAGGTTAACATTATAAGCACTGACAGGTAAAGTGAATGGCTCATGGCTCCTGTTAGTGGGTGGGATATCCGGTCTTTAAGTGTTGACATATGAACTCTGCTTCCGGGTCCAAACTACTCTGCGTTTATTAAGGTTGTTGT